CATCTAAAACTGATAGTTACTAGGGCTAGAAATATCGACAATCTTTTTTTGAGAATTTGTAGTAGTAAATATTGAAAATGCAATTGGAAAGTGAAGACTTCTTTCATTCTTTGATCAGATACATTTACTAAGAAACCTGATTTTTTACAATAAAGAAAACTGTAGAAAGCGATAGAGAGAGAAAGAGAGACAGAAAGTGCAAGTGCGCATAAATTTCTTTTTCTGTAAGATTGATACTTATACATTACAGAAAACGTAATCGATTATAGGGTTAGGTAATTAGGAAAACAACTGACAATTTGTTATAATCATTTAAGTTAATTAAAATGGAGTTCACGTCAGCACGATTTTATATTGACATCGTTTTGTTTGATGTCTCTCAGATTCTTTATCCGCAGTTTTCTTAAAATAATTTGTCTTTAAATTATTATTTCGAATGTCTTTTCGAGTGAATTCCACTTTGTAGCAGAATTATGGGAAAAAAATTGGAGAGAAACAGATGAGCTATGGTTTTTACAGATGATCATAGATGCTCTCCTTGATATTATAATTTGCTGTATCAAGCTGGGTTTCGCCACAAAAAGTTTTCTTTTCACAAGTAATGTATACGTACAAATAAAGCAAAGAGTTGACTTCAACTCGGGTTTTCATGCTAATGATATTTTCTCGCCATCCAACAAACAAGATGATGTCCCTAGTTCAGCCGCTTTTTGATTGATTAGATGAGCATTGCCTTTATACTATAGAATAAATAATAATCGAAATGAATAATAACAAGTCATTGGAGAAGTGCTTTCGAGGCAGGTTTGGGAAATTTACTTTTTTAACAACAATTGTTTTTATATGTGGTGCCACTTTTTGTGAGACAAATTTGACCAGAGAACTTAGTTCTAAATACATATCGATACAAATTGCTATGTTTTTGCTCTCTTTTTTTCTGATTTGCTGATTTTCGAATAAAATAAAAATCATCTTTATAAGAAATGAATTCGGTTTTGAAGCGTTCAGCATAAAATTATGGCTCTGAAAAATGCGGTTAATGTGTTTTTTGTAGGTCTGATCAAGCTGAAGCCATATTTTTCCTAGCTTTCAGTAGTAAACAATCATCGGCATACTGTATTAATTTGATTTGAGTATGCACATGAATTCCAATATCATTAACGTATAAATTGAAAAAAAGTTGGCCCATGATTGTCCCCCGAGTTACCTCTTTTCTTAATAATAATGAATCCCAAAAAAATTGATGACAACAATCCGTTGGGTTCTTTTCGATAAAAACTTTGCCAATAAGGCTGTAGAGTTGTTTAAAAGTCCAATGTTTTGCAAATTGTTCACTACAACTTCATGATCTATTGAAAAAAATGCCATTGAAAGATCCAATGAAGCTGCACAGACTGTTTTCTTGTCATCAATAATCTTTCGGATAAATTTTGCACAATTTATCGTGTGGTGAGTTTTTTTTGAAAATCCGAATTGGTATGGGTACATAATCTTGTGAAGTTCTAAATATTTTGTTAGTTGTGTTGATAGTAAACGTTTAATAATTTCGATAAGGCGCTAGTTATAGATATTGGGCGGCAATTAGAAGCTAGAAATATTCCTCGAGACTTGAAAATTGGGGTAACATTTGCATGTTTCTAATGATTTGGGAAATGATTTTCTAAGATGCATGCATTTGAAAATAAAAGTAAGATGTGGGGCAAAAATAGTTTTTCCATCAATGATAGTCCTTGCACGTTTGTTCCTATTCTTTTTAAACTTACATCTACAATCTCTTTTTCTGATACAGTATAGAAGTCACAAATTTGCATTTCTGGCCTTTCAATTTTGTTCTACGAATATTTTTCCGATCCTTCCCCAGAAAAATCCAAGAATGAAAGAAGTCAATTTAAATAAGTTTTTAAACTATCGTTAACTACATCACAAAACGAGTTTTGAGCTCTGGAATGAGAGAATGGTGTTCGCGCTAACCCCTGATTTTGTTAAAGAAATTCAATTTTTCTCTTTGATTCGTCAACTTATCAAAAATTTCGATAGAAAAAAATTTCTTGTTTCGTCTTTGCACTAGCCTTAAATAGAGTCCTCGAATTTTTATAGTCATTCCAGCTTAATTCTGTTTTAATTTCTTGAAAATGTCGAAAAACATTGTTTTTTGTTTGAATTGATTTTGGCATTCTTGATCGAACCAATTGACTTCCAGACTGTTATTCGTTTTGAGAGTTCTAATGAACACTTGTCTGATATATGCATTTTTCTCCAATGCCATGAAAACAATATGAATAAATATATTAACATTTTATAACAGCAGTCCAGTTTGTACATTTCATGCCACGACATCTCTGTCAGTGTTTCAACAAAATTTTCTTTAGAATAGTTTTCTGGATTGAAACTATGTTTAAAATGTTCAAATTTTATGTTTCAACTTTTCCAAAGATCAAGGTGAGAAAACAACAGAACGCGAACGATGTGTTCTTATATTTGATTCAAAAGTAAAAACTTTGTTAATATCTTCTTTTATGATGTAATCAAATGACTGGATGAGTTGGCTGTAGACTTCGTGGGATCCTCGGGTGGACATACACTGAGACCATGGTGCTGCATTAATTAGGTCAATGCTTGTTTTTCAGCTAAAGTAGTTGATATTATAATCCTTGTTCAGAAAAAAATGGAGCATTCTGTTATAGCATTATCAATGTAAGAGCCAACTCAACCAGTAATTTTGAATAAATTGTTTTAGAAGGCTTGTATAAGATGTTCAGGAAAATTTTTTTCTGATCCTTATTAGCGTTACATTCGATCCACAGGCATTCAAAATCTTTTTTGCGAACAGTTTCAAATCCTACCGCAATTTAAGTGATAATGCTAAAGATATTTGGCACAAAACGCCCCTTCCTTTTGATTTGCCGTGATAAATATTCTGTCCTGTAGGAAGCAGGGATGGGTTGTAGGAGATAGGTTGCATTCCTCATTTTTTCATTAGTGCGTAGATACTTTTCCGATATTGTTAAAATAGTCTTGTCGCCTAGGTTAATTAGTTAATTTTTCAGCGCATTTCGATTTCTGATTAGACTTTGGCAGTTTATATAATCTATTTTCAGAACTTCCTCGTTTAGTTTCGAAGTCAATTTTTTTTGCATGTTAGGCAAGGGCCTGGGTTTTTTTCTATGTCACCACTGCGAATCTAAAGGATCACAACTCCTGAAAACACACTCCTGAAAACACACTTGCAATAGCGTTTAAATGCATCTAACGGGATGCGCACACAAAACTATATGTACCAACACTAAAGCATATCAACGAAGATGTAGCTATGTGATTGCTGTTTTCTATATGGATAAACCAAATTGATAATGTAGTTAGATTAGTTCGGAGAATGAATGGATCAGACAAAGAAATTTTTTTGATGATTTATTTCCGGAACTTAGAATTGTTTTATTTTCCTGAAGAAAACTGATCACATCATGGTTTGGATTTGGTTCACGTGATACATTTACAAATTTCGATCTTTTTGTAATATCACAGCAGGCAACGTCTTTTTTGTTCGTTTTGAAATTATCACGCATCAATTGAACAAAAGTTTTAACAACAAAATCAGATGGATGTAGTCCATCGGTATGCAGGTTTTCTGGAGACAGCATAATTTGACAGTACATTTCATTTATTTGTAGCTGTGCACATTATTGAGATCCTTATTTTCACTTCGCAACGAACAGTTAGACTTACTAATTTATTTGATGCTTGCATTCAAATCCTTCCTGAAAGTACCAACAGGTTTAATTGAGCATAGATTTTTTGTGCTCGGATTAGGTTTATGTACTGTACGATGGCTTCTTTTGGTTAAATTTTTCTGATAGATAATCGTTAACACCAATGTACAAATTGACCTGGTCGAACTTTTTTGATTTAGTGTTGTTTACTCTCTAAGCTAGACCTTAAATTTTGCGTCCACAAAACTCTCTGGCGATTATGCTTGGTATTATCTGCTCTCCGTGAATTCGGTTGGTTATTGAGTTGCCCAGAGCCAGTTTTCTAAGTTCTCTGTTTTTCGGCGGTGCCTTTGTTTGTTGTCTATTCTGTTTCTGAGCTTGGAGTAGTTGCCATCTGCCGCCTAATGTTGTGTAGATTGATCAAATTTTTTGATGCAATTGTGGAATAGTTCTTCGTCTTCTGGGAGTTGGATGTTGACATTGGATAGCTTCTGAACAATCATTCGAACATAAGTTATTTCATCAAGAGCCGATTTGTGTAATTTTAGTTCTTGATCTTCGCTCAAACTGACCAAAAAAAAGTCGCCACAGAAGCCCAGCATTTCTTTGATTTCTTTTTATATATAACTCGAAAATTAGTTATTATCATAATCCTCCGCACAATAATTTTCGCTGTTGTCGGCCTAAGAATGTCGTCTACTAAAGAACTAGACTCTGCCTGATCAGGCGTGTTTGAATTGTTTTTAACCATGTTTCTTTCGAATTAAATCTCGGGTCAAGACATCGTTTTCGCCGCAAGGATGCGCTTTTCTCAGCTTACGCAGAATAAAAATTGAACGCTTCGATCCATGCTGATGTCTGATTTTTTATGAACTGAACATTGATGTATGAACAAGCCCCTGATAAAAAAAATAGCTTAGCTTGACCGTCACCCCCGAATCATTATTTTAAGTGAAATTCTAGATCGCTGATGAGGTATCTTAAGTGTTTCGCTTAATGTAGCCGGTAGCACATTGTTAAATAACTTGAGCTTGAACCTACTTGTGGCTGAAGATTTGCTCATTCGCGCGAGCTTTCTTGTTGAAACATCACAGAGGTTGGATGCTGGTTTGTCTGTTAATTGAGGGCAAACATCTTTGTTTCGACTTAAATCGTGTCTCCGTTTACTTTGCGTTATCTTCTTATCGACGCCAAACTGAGTTAGTTGGTCATATATGGATGCATAAACGTGCCATGAAGTCTTTCATGCCTTGAACACAATATATCACACAAAACGTTCATTTCTGAAACACCAGACATACACAAACGAATCCGCTCTTTGCGTTTTTGTTGTTTTATCCGAGCTTCATTGTGACTGCATAAATGATCTAGATTTGGTACATATATGTTACAGTATACGTGGACCAAACTATTCAATACACATTTTATCATTTGCTCGTTCCAGCCTCTGTTAAAAGTACTTTTAGTTTGCGAAACCATATTGCAGCACTGTTTGATAAGACTTGCAAACATTTATTTTCAACTAGAAAAAAAATACTTTCGCTTTTCATAAAAAATTAATAATGTTGAGAACTTATCGCTGCTTATATCAAATATCACGTTAAATTAACGCGGCGAACGCAACTACAAGTACTTTTGACAAAATTATTCAGATTTTTTTGAAGAATTTGAAGATTTCTTCAACTTTTTTATCCTATTTCATCTCTTGATTTGATTATTTGGAAATGGCAGAAAGACCTGAAGGCTATGGATTTACAGCTGAATTGGAGGCTAAAATGAGTGGCAAATACGACCCTGAGTTGGAGAAAGACGTGCGGGAGTGGATGGGAGCAGTGACAGGAGAACCCCTCGACGGCGAAGGTAAAATTTAGTCTCCGATTAGCCTATTATAAATAATAAATCCGTTTTCAAGAAGGGAAAAAACACTTTTATTGTTTACAAAACTCATAACACAAAATCCCATCCAGAAAGAATACAAACAAGACTGCTCGTATCAGGGCGAAGCCTTGAATGTTCCGACTGCCCTTTACGGTTTATGGAGCAGTAATAACATTAAAAAATTCAAGGAAATAAAATAAATGAAAAATTTTTTTTTCTAAAATTTAAAATTTTTTATGAAAATCATCACCCCACACGCCATATTAACTAGAAAAGGATAGTTTTCGCTCCTTGTAACAAACCAATTATGGCAAATAAGCTTCTTTTAACCAATTTGGAACGATTTCTAAGACGGATTAACTCTCCGCTTACGCGATAATAGCGCGAAATATATCGCGCGTTAATTGTCCCAAATTGACCAAAATGGCAATCTTTAAACCCCCGTAACTTTACGAAAAATAATCACAGGTGAAATATTGTTTCAAATTTAAGCTCAGGATAACAACACCTTTTGAATGATATAAAAAAATTCCGTCAAAAATGGCTAGTTAAAAAGTCGAAATTTGTCTGAAGAAAAAAAAACCCACCCCGAGCACAAATATTCCGTTACTTTCGTATCGAAAGTCGGAACAAAAAGGAAGAACACGAAAAAAGCCTAGTTTTTAATTGCAAGAATGTGTGCAAATCAGGACGTCGAATCTTCTTTTAATTTGGATTTTGGGGGTGCCGGACATCAAGCCGACGGGACTTCAAGCCGAATCGTAAAATTAGGGACTTCAAGCCGAATAGTTCCTTATAAAGTCGTGAAATATGATTAATTTAAAAATTTTTTTGAAGAATTTCTGAATTTCATGATCTTTCTTCACTAGTCATTGGCGTTTTCATAAAATTTAAGCCTCCACATGATGTTTCGGAAAGTTGAAAAGTAAAACAGGGTTGAAGGCAATTTTCTTGCTTATAATTTATGCATTTCAAAAACCGTCTGAAATTATTAACGAATGCCAACCCTAAGTAATTCCTTGTCATGAATAACGCTTATTATGGACTAAACTTGTCTAAGTTTTCGAAAAGCAACGTTTTAGAGATGATAAAATAGCGTTTTGAGGTGCTTGTAAAGTTTTTTTTTCGGCTTGAAGTCCCTTCGGCTTGAAGTCCAGTCGGCTTGTTGTCCTAGACCCGGATTTTGCAGCAATTTCTTTTTGTTTGTATTTAGTAGATAAAAATGTTCTCTATAATGATCTGAATTATAAGAAATTAAGCACTTTTGTTATCAAAGAACCAAACTAGCAAAATTCAGTAAAATGTTTGAGAGATTGCTCGACAGTCGTTTAAATCGCTACCTTGAAAACTCAAATTTCTAGCGCCAAAAACTTTTGGTTTCAGAAAAAAACAGAAACCGGTATGAATGTTCTAATTGAGACATATAAAAAAAACTGCAAATATCTGAGAAAGTAACACTAAAAAGGTAGAAATGATTTTGTTGGAATCAGAAGCAAAACGTTTTATTTGAATAAATTTAAACTTCCACGGGTTCTGCGCTCAAGTACGTGTAATGTACTAGTTCTTTACAACGACCCAATATAGCTTGCTGTTTGGGATCCCGCCAATATAGGCTGATTCCGCAATTTGTAAGCAAACTCCACAATTGTAACCGGATTCCGCTTGAATTATGCAGATTGGGCTCACACTAGTTTGCGGATTTTTCTTGCAATTGAACGGTTTCACTAGCAATTGCGGAATCCGTGACAACGTAATTATACGATTCACTCAATTTTTACTTGATTGCGGATTCCACAAACTGTTCTGAACTTCGCACATTTTGTTGAGGTTTCCGCAAATTTGCTAGTTTTTGCAGCAATTTTGAGCGATATCAGAAGCAAAAATTTTTACTAAATGGTAACTATCTAGAGTTGCCTTTTAGAATTCCAAAGAAACTGTTGAACTATGTTTTCGATAGCTAACCTTTTTTCATTAAAAGTTTTCGATATATCCCGCATCTAAGTTTAGGCTCAAGTAATCGATTATATCGGATTATTATGATAATTTTTTGACAATTATATTGTTTATTGTTACCAAAATTAGCTGCTTAAAGTATTTATAATTGATTATAATTGTGATATTTTCCAAAAGATTGTTATAATTGATTATAGTTCTTACAAGAAACCCTTAAAAGCAATTATAATCGATTATAATTTCTTATTTTGCCAAAATGTTGTCAATTCAAAACAATATCCAAAATTTATCTTATGGGCTAATAACTTTGTGTCAAAAAGAAAATCTCTAAAAGAGAGATCTCTTGAACACTTTGGTTCATCTGAACACAAAGTCTTACAACAAAACTAAAGTTTCATTGAGATCCTTTCATCTTAGTAGAAAAGGTCCTGCGGTAGATGAAAAATGAATCTTCCGAATCAATCATGAAACTAAATCAATTTGCTGATGTTTTTGTGCTAGAAAAAAAGCTTAAATAATGCATCACAAAACAACTCTAATGGGGAAGAAATGATAAAAAAATCTTTTAAATGTGAATTGATTGGAAAACTTTACAAACAATTTTTTAAATGTTTTATAGGAACGAATGTCTACAAAAAGCATAAAATATAAACAATTTAGATGCAATTTCGAAGACAAAATGGACAAACAAAAGTGATTATAATCAATTATAATCGATGATAATGGATTTTTGTGCAAAACTAATGAATTAGAACTTCGAATAAAAATAATGGATTATAATCAATTATAATTGATTATCATTGCATCGAAAAATAGACGAATAAATAATCGATTATAATTGATTATACAGTTTTATAATTAATCATATTTGATTTTAAAAAGAGAGATTTTGATCGATTACTAATTGATTAAAATCGATTGTTTCTCAATTTTAGTAAGACTAGTACTAAAATTGTAATAAAATCGATTATTAACGCTTAAAACTGGATGCGGGTCCTTATGTACAAATACACTGACGTCTTTTGACAATTACCTTCTGGTTTGTTCAATTTTTTCTGAATCAATAATTTGATCAATAAACACTTAGGTTATTAGGCTAATGCTGTGATCTGTTTTCGAAAAATAGAGCTTAATTGTGTTTTACTTTTAGTTTTTTCTGCTTTGTAATGCCTTCCTTGGCAAAAATTAGTTAAGATTGGTGAGGCTTTTGCAGGGCTTGTTGTTCCGACATTTTTTGAAGAAAATGAAGAAATATCTCCAGACAAGTTTTCAATTTTTAACTAGCCATTTGTGACTGAATTTTTTTTATACCAGTTGAAATGTATTGTTGTCTTGAGCTCAAAAAAAAATCACCTGTGAGTTTTTGGCATAAGGTTATGAGGGTTTAAAGATGGCAAGTTTGGGCAGTGTGGGATAGTTACCGCGCTTTGTAATTAATTTTGTAATTTACACAGCGTGTGGGGAACTAGTTTCAAATTTTTTTTTGAAAGTCTTTTAAATTGTTAAAGCAAACACTACTCTATAGAACGTGAAAATAGATACGAGAATTCTCGTTTGTGTTTATAAGAAAGTATGAAAAATTCTAAAGTTTAAAAAAGGTTTGATTATAAGATTGTGTGTTAGTTTTCATTTGTTCTGTTTTGTGTGGCCTTCTTTGGCAAAATTCGTTTGAAATTTGTAGGATATCATCATGACTAATTCCTTTTCAGTTCGTTGAACCTTGTTTTACTGCATATAGTTGGTTGGTATCAATTTATCAAAAAGAATTCTAATTTCCGGAATAATTCATGAAAAATGGATCTTAAAAGTGCATTAAATTTATTCGGAGTTTACCAAATTTATGAATGCCGCCATTCATCCACCCCCTTAGTTTACCCTCCCGGGCTGAGGCGCTGGACTTATGATTCGACTGAAACGGTCGAACGATGTCCGTTTTGGACTTTTTGGGTCGAACGATGTCCGTTTTCAGCTTTTTGAGTCGAACGATGCCCGCTTTTGACTTTTTGAGTCAAACGATGTCTGTTTTCGACTTTGTTCGATTTTACCGGACATTGTTCGACTTTGTTCGAATTTATCGAAAATTTTTTGCTTTTACCGTGAATTAGCCGAAGCGTCCTGAACTACAACGAAACTCGGACATCATTTGACTTTTTCAAACAAATCGTGTGCCAAAAACCTCAGCCTGGGCAGCCGCAAAATTTAATAGAAAATGCCACAAACTTCAGCATCGTAGATTTGTATAGCCAGGGTTGAGTTGTTGGACTTACGTTTCAATCGATCAGAACAAAAATGGCTATGTTTCGACCGACTTGACCAAAAAAAATGGCTTGGACTGTGTTCGATGGAAGCTATTTATGTTGCGACCGACTCGACCCAAGTTGGCTATGATTCGACCGACTCGACCCAAGGAAAAAGTGTTCGACAGTGTTTGACGCAAGCCAGCTAGGTTTGGTCAGCCGAATGAAAATGTGACGGAAGCCAATTATATTTCGAACGACTCGAACAAATTAGTGGTGTTTCTTACTTCAGATTTGCGCGACCCATGTTGCGACTTTGCGCGAGGCATGTTGCAACTCTGTGCGACCCATGTTGCGACTCATGATTCGAACGTGTTCGACTCATGATTCGACCCTGTTCGACTCATGATTCGACCCTGTTCGACTCTATCGACCCTGTTCGACCCATGATTCGACCCTGTTCGACCCATAATTCGACCCTGTTAGAATCATGATTCGACCCTGTTCGACTCTATCGACCCTGTTCGACCCATGATTCGACTTTGTTCGACTATAGTGTTCGTTCGACCGTCTTTATTTGCGACGAAAATCGGACTCCGTTCGACCGTGTCGGTCGAATCATGAGTCGAACACCTCAGCCCGGGCTATTTGCTAACTTTTTCGCAATTAAAAAAATTTGCCATAGGGCCCGATCAACTGCACTCAGTACTTAGGGACGGAACATATCTGTGCAACCTTGTGAACAAAATCCAACCAGGGAGTGTGAAGAAAATGAACACATCCAAGATGGCCTTCAAACAGATGGAAAATATTAATTTCTTTCTCTCGGCGTGCGAAGCTCTAGGATGTGCGAAAATGGACTTGTTCCAGACTGTGGATCTTTATGAGGCGCAGAATATGGGAGCTGTGATCACTGGAATATTGGCACTTGGTTTGTAAATTCTGATTCTTTTTGAAAAAGCGAGCGCATGGTTCTCTGAAAGCAGGACAGAGTTTTCCAACCACTATGGATTGAGTTCAAAAAACTCTAAAAAATTATTTCTGTAGAAAACTAAAGAAAAATTTTTCTTCTAAGATTTTTATCTTGAAGTTGCTGTTGATTTTTTTTAAACAAAAGGCGATGGAAATCACGGGCGGATTTATGGGGGGATTGTACCAACAGGGATTCGACCCCCTCCCCAACCAAAGAGTCGTCGTGTGGTATTATTTTATGACACCCATGTTAGGCCGAACAACCATAAAATTTTTCTAAAGGCGCCTTCACCGCCAATATATACTAATTTTGAAGGGGAGCGCGCGCCGAAAAAAGGCAATTTTTTGGTCTACTTTTTCCATGAAATGCCGAAAAATGGCATTTTGACGTTTATTTTTATTTGCCCGCGGCGCAAAAGTTTTGGTCAAAATACGGTCCTACGAAAGTTCTGGGAGCGCTCGGAATATCAATTTCGTCGACCTAAAAAAAAGGTCGACAAGATCTAAATTGGGCTCAAACTCAATGTCTGCAAGTTTTTCTGAAAAAGTCACACCCTTTTTCTCGACACTGGTAAATTTGGAACCCGAATGACGGCTGAAAAAGTTCAAATACGATACCCCACGTGGCAACCTAAGAACCTTTGTGAAAAGTCATTAACAAATTAAACAAAAGATACTCTCAACTTAAACATTTTGTTGTCATCAGCAAAATAGAATCTTCAGACATCATCACATGGTTTCAGATTCAGGTTTTTTTTAACCTCTTCAACAGCCCCCCCCCCCTCCCTCCGTAATTCAACTACAGGGTCAATGTACTTACTGTTTAGTGCGTTAAAAAGATCAAAATGCTCAATCTTTCTTTCGAATTTATCCTTCCAAAAATCGGTTGTCATCATCTGACATTATATCATTCAGGTCGTAGGGCACAGACTATAGGCTTCGACGGGCCAGTTCTCGGACCTAAAGAGGCATCTGAGAACAAGCGGGAGTTCTCCGAAGAACAGATGAGAGCTGGCGGTAATGTCATCGGACTTCAGATGGGCTCAAATCAAGGTGCCTCTCAAGCGGGCCAGAACTTCGGCAAAACCAGAGCCATCATTGACTGAAACAAAAGCCGAATTAAAAAAATAAAAAAGTATCGAAATTTCAATGGTTTGAAGGGTAAACTTAATAATTGGTCTTCATTGCAGGCGAAGAACTTCAAATTTACAGCTTAATGTTTTTGTAACTATCATCAGTAAATATGATGAACTATTAAACAGGTAATTGATATATTAATGCGTAAAATTCTGGAGCTTTCAAACTAAGTTTTTTTCCTAGATTATCAAAAACTTAGGAAAATATAAGTAAAATCCTAGACTATCAGTGAAATCCTAAACATGGAACATGGAACTGGTAGTCGAGGAAACAGTAGCAGATGGGTTGAGATATTGCATCAAACATGAGCTGAAACTTGCTGTTAACCCAGTTGATATGAACTATCCAAGAACTGAAAAGCAACTGCAGTATTTTTGAACTATTAAATGAGCAAACAATTGTTGTTTTGTGTTAATTATTCTCGAAAGGCATTAATAAGGGCGATATGCAATGAGAATCCAAAAAAAATAAAGATTTCTTTTCAATTGTTTTTTTTTATTCAGTATTGTTAAAAAAGAATTAGATTTATTTAATCAGTAAGTTTGTTTTTTGGATGTGAAAATCAAAATCTTATTTAAAATTATTACTTTGATTAGTTATTATGGTTTTAATGCCCATTAGTAATTCATTTTTAAGGTTGGTGAATTCCTGGATATCAAAATTTTAAACGTGCAAAACTATTATAGGTACTCTAGGCAATTTTGAGCAACAGTTTATTTTACACAAAAAAAATTTCTTGCAATTCTTAGCGTCTGATTTCACTGCTTTAAGAAAAATTAATTTCTAGTTGCACCAATTTTAGAGGATCAGTCATAGATAAAGAATAAAATTATAACAAGTTTGATGTTGTTTTTGGATGTTTCAAAGCTTTCAAAACTTTTTTTGGTTTGCCGAGATATGAATAGCAACCAAAAGTGCTATTCTTCGGTTAATGCAAAACTCATCAAAAATGATAATAAAGATCAACAAATTTGTCATCAAACTAACAGGAAAAGAAACCATTGACAAAAATTATTATGCTGAAACAAAATAAACAGAAAAAAGGGTGTTTTCAAAAACAAGAGTTCACTATATGGCGAGGACAATGAACTGCAAATAGTTGCGAAGGATTATTTTATTTAAAATTTTGTTTTGCGTGCCTCAAATTAAAAGATCAGTTCCGCAAAATTTTGATGAAATAGAAACCCATCTTACTAGTTGAAGCAAACCAGTAGTAATTGCCTCAACAGTGACTGAATTACAGAAGATTTTGTTCTACAAAACTTATTTCTGAACCAATACCATGAAAAAAAAAATACATCAAAGAGAAGGTGTAGGTTTTTAAATAACCAAAAATATCATACTACAAAAAAAGCCATATTCAGTTACAATTCTTACAATCCTTTACAGTTCTTACAATCCTTTACAGTTCTTACAATCCTTTACAATTCTTAAAACTTTCCATCGAGTGTTAGCTTAAAAATGTGAAAAAGTACAGTATTATGTAAAGCACAGCAAATGAATTCAACCAATTTTTCGAAACTGTTAGAATCACTTGCAACTGTTAACAAATTGTTAGCAATCACTTCACTAATGTAAAAATAAAAAAGATCAAATTTTGATAGTGGTGATCTTAATTTACCGATAAACAGAAAAACAGAACTGTTCGTATCAGGGCGAAGCCTTGAATGTTCCGGTTGCCTTTTAAAATTTTTGGAGCAGTAGTGACATAAAAAAATTAAATGTAGAGAAAATAAAATGAAAAACTTTTTTTCTTAAATTTGAAATTTTTAATGAAATCACCCAACCACATGCCATAAAAGTTTTAAAAAAAGGAGTTCGCTCCTTGTAACAAATCAACTATGGCAAATAAGCTTCTTTCAACCAAATTGGAACAATTTCTAAGACGGATTAATTCTCCGCTTACGCGTTAGTAGCGCGAAACATATCGCGCGTTAATTTTCCCAAAATGGCCAAAATGGCAAGGTTTAAACCCCAATAACTTTACTAAAAAAGATCACAAGTGAATTATCTTTTTAATTTACGCTTAAGACAACATTAGCTTTTGAATGATGAAAAAAATTTTGTCAAAAATGGCTAGTTAAAAAGTCGAAATTTGTCTGAAGAAAAAAAAACCCACCCCGAGCACAAACATTCCGTTACTTTTGTATCTTAAGTCGGAACAAAAACGATCTAATTAAAATTGTTTTTTAATTTTGGCCTACAATCATTTGAAAACCGCTTTTGGCTTACAATCATTTGATCTCTAAGCGATTAGCTAAAAAGAGTAGCACATCTATTGATAATTGTTAATTTTAGGAAAATGCCTTATTTAAAGCTCAAACTAATGAAATGCCAGATAAACAAGACTGCTCCTATCAGGGTTAAGCCCTGAATATTTCGACTGCTTTTTAAGGTCTATAGAGCAGTAATTACAAAGAAAAATTAATGTAAAAGCATTTTTAAAAGTTTTCTAAAAAAATTTGAGATTTTTTTTGTGAAAACATCCCCCCACACGCCATATTAAGTACAGTGTGATAGATTTTGCTGCTAATAACAAATCAATTATGACATATAATCTTCCTTGAACCAATTTGGAACGATTTCTAAGTTGGATTAAAACTGGCTCACGTGTTAATAGTGCGAAACATATCGAGTGTTAATTTTCCCAAATTGGCCAAAATGACCAAAATGGCAAGGTTTGAACCCCAATAACTTTACTAAAAAAAATCACAGGTGAATTATCTTTTCAATTTACGCTTAAGACAACATTAGTTTTTGAATGATTTAAAAAATTTTGTCAAAAATGGCTAGTTGAAAAGTCGAAAACTGTCTGAAGAAAAAAAAACCCACCCCGAGCACAAATATTCCGTTACTTTTGTATCTTAAGTCGGAACAAAAAGGATCTAATTAAAATGGTTTTTTAATTTTGGCCTACAATCATTTGAAAAACACTTTTGGCTGACAATCATTTGAATTCTAAGCGATTAGCTAAAAAGAGTAGCACTTCTATTGATAATTTTTAATTTTAGGAAAATGCCTTATTTAAAGCTCAAACTAATGAAATGCCAGATAAACAAGACTGCTCGTATCAGGGTGAAGCCCTGAATGTTTCGACTGCCTTTTGAGGTCTATGGAGCAGTAATTACACAGAAAATTTAATGTGAAAACATTTTAAAAAAATTTCTAAAAAATTTGAGATTTTTTTTGTGAAAACATCCCCCCACACGCCATATTAAGTACAGTGTGATAGATTTTGCTGCTAATAACAAATCAATTATGGCATATAATCTTCCTTGAACCAATTCGGAACGATTTCTAAGATGGATTAAAACTGGCTCACGTGTTAATAGCGCGAAACATATCGCGTGTTAATTTTCCCAAATTGGCCAAAATGGCCAAAATGGCAATGTTTAAACCCCCATAACTTTACTAAAAAAGATAACAGGTGAATTATCTTTTCAAATTTACGCTTAGGACAATATTAGCTTTTGAATGATGTAAAACAACTTTCAAAAATGGCTAGTTAAAAAGTCCAAATTCGTCTGAAAAAAAACACACCCCGGGCAAAAATATTCCGTTACTTTCGTTACGAAAGTCGGAACAAAAATATTTATGTATGACACTTTAAAAAACAATTACCCAGAAACACTCCCGAGTCAAAAAAATTTTGAAGGGAGGCTACATCGAAAATTTAGCAATGCGAAATTTTGACCAACAACAAACCGAAAGCAAAAAAAACTATACATTTTTTAATTATTAGCAGGAAAAAACCGATTTCATGAATGACTTTGGCTTACAAGAGGATGATTCAAACTTTGTTTGTACGAGTTGGGCCGAAACAAGCTGAAAAATATGAAAAACACTCCAATTTCAACACTATAAAAAACTATTCAGAGTCAATTGATGTCAAATATTACATATGAAAACAATTTCAACAATATAAAAAACTCAATTGTTGTCAATTTCATGACTGATAGAGAAGGGTTTGGCATATTGAGTAAACTGAACGGAAAAATTTCAAAAAATATTTTTGGCCATTTCAGTAATCTACTTAAACAGATAGCAACAGTTCTCACTCTCATGCTGACAAAAACGATGAAAAAATGTGTAGATCACATATGTTTTCCAGTTAACTTGAAGAAAGCAAAACTCACACTATTTTTTAAATCTGGTTCGTGCACAGAACCCTCAAATTATCGCTCTTGCCAGTAAGAAACAAAATTTATGAAAAAAGTCGGCGAAAACATATTCCGGTATTTTTTCAACGCTTAAAATGCTGATTAAGGATCATATTAGTTTTCAAAACATAGGCAGAGCTGTAGACACCATAATGGAGTTTACTGAAAGCGTCACATTTAAATTAAACTCCGAACAAAAAAATTGACAGTACACTAGTTGCTCTTTCACAAGCTTTTGACAGTTAATCGTGATATATTTTTTCAAAAATATTGTGCTATGTATATGTATGGCCTGAGAAAAAAAGATTATCGTATTAATAGAATTTGATGATAGAAAGTAATATCTTCAATTTAGTGACAAAATTGCTGAACTCAAAAAATACAGAATGCAATGTACCTCTAATACCTAATCTCCAGTGATATTTTTCATGAGCGTGCTCTAATTTGTTTATGAAAAGTCTTAGAAACTAAATTTTTAGCCTTGAAGCTGCTTCGTTAAATTTTTATTAAGCCAAAACAGACTTGTTCTTGTTGTTGATTATTTGTTTTTTGTGTCAATTTCCTTGGCGCCATTGTGTCAAGTTGCTCTTTTAGAGTGTTTACAAAACCAAAAATTATTGTCCATTCATGGTCGATATTTAAATTTATTAATTTAGTCAACGTTTACTATTAATGCTATGAGTCAGTTTCGGAAAATTGCATGTTGCCGATAATCCCGAAAATGATAATTTTTGATGCCGACCAGCGCCAAAAATAATTAGGTTTATAAAAGACAGAGTTTTATTGAGGATTAATGCGGACAAGCCAATTGGGCTCAAATGAGTTTTGAAGCATATTTGATGCAATTTGGACAGCAATCAAAGTTTTCTTTTTATATTTTTCAGTTTTCGGGCTAAATATAAAGAATTAGAATTTTTTGACACAATTTTTTCAATCAACAGAAGACTAACTTTGTTGGAGCTTTTTTCAAAAGTAAACATTTGCTTGGAGTACGCTAATTTGATGCAAAAA